AGGTGATGACATTCTGGGTAAAGTTACAAAAGCCAGAGATATCCAGAAGCAGGAGCATCCAGGGCCACTGTTGACACACAGGTCAGGTCACTGCTGACTGGGAAAGCTGAGAGGTCCACCAGGACCTATGTGGGGATCATAAGGAAGACAATGTGGCAGTCCAAGATGTTTAGCAGCCAGAGATGGTGGATCTGCGAGTCTCTCAATACCTTTGTGTTTTGCTACTTTTTCATGATGATCCAGGTTAGGAAGACCACACAGATAGGCATGGTTGCCTTGACAGTTGTGTGTGTAGGACACTGGCATCTTCCAGATGCTGATGTGAGCTGATAGGGACATGAAGGGACATAGCACAGGTAGAAGTGTGGCAACAGCAGGCCGGGCAATGGGTGCAGGCAGTGCCTGGAGCCCTAGATGGGTGGTGTAGGGGCACAGGCCAAGCATGCAGCAGCAGTGGGAGCCCTGTGCACAGTACCAGGATGTGGTCCAGTGACAGGGTCATAGGGAATGGGAAGGTGCTCAGGATCACCTTGTTGACTACATTGCTGCCAGCGCGCTCAGCACTGCAGGCACAGCACCAACATCCTGGGCATGATGACCACCCCCATGCCCTCACATGCCTTACTGCTGCCATCTTGCCCCAATGGCCACCCCTTCCCATCCTATTTTCTTAATAGAACTTATCCCCACATAACCTGTATATTTCTTTGTTTATGGTTTGCCTCTCCACACTAGATTGTAAGTGCCTTGAAAGCATGAACTGTGTTTTGTTTACTGTGGTAGTCCCTGCACCTAAAACAATGCCTGGCATGTAGAAAGTGCTCAAAAACACTTGTTGATTGAATGAATAAATGAACCAACTAATTGAGAGCTAGAGCTTCTCTGAATTTATCTGGCTAGAGGCCAAGACACTGGAGGATGTGGCATGCAGATATCCACATGGACTCCTATAGCCATGTCCCTCCTACTAGATAATAAGAAGAGCTGATAATGCCAAGAACCCAGGCTCTCCTGTTCTGGGAGTTACTGTTAACTATCTGTAATTGTGAGGTTGAAGGCCTGGATACCACAGAACTCATATGGTTTGGAAATGGTACAAAGGGCAGTCCCATCAATCTTTAAGTTAACTAGAGTAGTTTTCTAGCTTCCAACCCACGAATCTTAACTGAGTAGGTTCAAGAAATTGAAAGAAAGCTCCTGTGTTTGGGTATGTGAATAGACAAGGAGAGAGTGGTAGATAGTATCAGATAGACAAGATCTTCTCTAAAAGTAAGACTAAACAATGAGTTTAGTCTTAATTGGATGAGCAGTGGAAATCTGTGAAAGAATTTAAGTAGGGGAATGACATGGTCAGATTTGTGTTTTGAAATATTTCCTTTAGCTGAAGTGTGAATGGACTGAAGGGGGCAAGAGTGAATTACAGAAAAAATAAAGAAAAGCATTCCAGAGGAAGTAGCGTGAACATCAAAGAATGCAACAGACTATTGCAGTTGGGCCAGGGCTTAGTTCATTTATTTCTCTAAAGTATTGGGGAGGAGGGGTTTGAAGGATAAATTCAGTATTGCTGGTACAAGGCTGGGAATGAAGAGATGGTGGAAGGTAGGGCAGGATAAGTTAGAAGGGCTTCCTGTGACTTTCTTTTTAATATTTAGAAAACTTTTCAAGAGAGACCACTACAACATCCGTGATTTACACAAAAAAGAAGTACTGAATTGAAATACAAGGTCTAACTTGAACCATCAATGGTATAAATGTCACTACTTGGGGTTACAGTGACTATCTCTTAAACTCTTAAAAATTTAGAATTTTGAGAGAGTTAAACTATGAAGTCAATACATAGTGTGATAAGTCAACCAGGCCTAAAAGCAGAAGTTGAAAATAAAGTGTAAATTATAGGTGGAATATTTTAAATTGTAGGGTATAGTTAAAGGATACATTAGCATGTTTACACTATAATGTATAGAAGAGAACTTCTCTACTGGTGTGCCAATCATAGGTGTGACTACAAAAAAATTTGAAAAGATTATCATTAGCATTTTAAAATTAGAAATTATAGCCCAGGCGGGGTGGTTCTATTGGTTGAGCATCGTCCTCTGCACCAAAATGTTTCGGATTAGATTCCCAGTCAGGGCACATGCATGGATTGTGGTTTTGATCCCTGGTCGGGTCACCTGCTGGGTGTGTGTGTGTGTGTGTGTGTGTGTGTGTGTTGGGGCAGCCAATCCATGTTTCTATCTCACATCCATGTTTCTCTTCCCCCCTTCCCTCGCCCTCTCTCTCTCTCCCTTCCTCCCTCTAAGCATGTCTCAGTGAGGATTTAAAAAAAGGAAGAAGAAATTTTATATCTATTTTATCATGAAACCTAATATCAAAAAGGTAATATTCACAGAAACATGCTCAAGTTTCTCATGAAAATTTTAAACATTTTATTTGAATATTTAGCCAAAATAAACATTATTTTTCCAAGTCCTTTATTTTAAATTTATCATATAATTACAAAGAAAATGTAATTACTTTTTTCAACCAAGTTCCTCATAGACATTAAGTTTATACTCTAATGTGCTCTGCAAATATAATTTATTTCTTTGTGTCATGACTTATCTAAAAAGAGAAATAAAATGGTATCATTAGAAAATACTCAGGAGGAGTGTTTAGGTTGGATTTCCGCAGAAGCAGACACTGAGGCAAGGATTTGAGTGCAAGTCATTTGTTTAGGAGATGATCCCAGCCAGTCGGGAGTGGAGAAGTGAGGCAGGGATGGGAAGGAAGCCAGTATGCAGGTTACCACTCTGGGCAACTGGGGCTGTTTCACTGGAGAGCCTCTGGGAGACAGTGTAGTACATGCTTCAAAGTTGTTTCACCCCTGGGGTGAGAAAAAAAGTTTACCCATCTACTACTTCTTTTTTTTAAAATCCTCATCTGAGCATATTTTTCCATTTTTGTTCAGATAGATTTGGAGGGAGGGAGGGAGGAAGGGAGGGAGGGAAGGAGGGAGAGAGAGAGAGATATATCGACGTGAGAGGTACACATCGAGTGGTTGCCTCCTACACGACCCCAATCAGGGCTGGGGACAATCGCAACCGAGGTACACTTGCCCTTGACCCGAATAGAACCTGCAACTCATTGGTCCGTAGGTCCACGCTCTAACCACTGAGCAACCAGCCAGGGCTCATCTACTTCTTTCTATCATTTCACTACTGTTCCATGGGGGCATAAAGCCCATTATTCTGGCTTGTATGCAGTCATGAAAGGCTCTTGGGATCGGAGGAAACCTCCAGTCAGAGTAGCAGGTGCTCACAGTGGGAAGTTTTTAGATCTATGAAACATGCAACTAAATTTATAGCTCATTAGGTTTTGGTCTTATCCCCACCAAGTGACTTTTGTAATTTGGCATCTGACCTAGATCTGCCTACAGAGAAGAATATGTCTTGTATGGTCTAGTTGATGCTGCCTCTAAAATATCCCCTGAATTAGCCCACCTCTTGTCCAGGCTGCCAACCTCCTTTGCACTACTCCAGTAAACTCCTAGCTGCTTTTAACCTATTCTTGCCCTCCCCCCAATCCATTCTTTCTCACAGAGCCACAGTTATCTTCATAAAATGAACATTGAGTAATGCTATTCCTTGGCTAACTCTTCAGGGGCTTTTCATCGACTACAGCATGAACCCACATGCATCTTCAGCTCCACTAGACCAACTAAAAGAATATGCTAAAGGCTCTGGCATAAAGTTTTTGTACATGTTCTCTCTTCAGGCTAGATTATAGACCCAGAATATCCTTCCACTAAGTCTTCACTTTGTTTCCTTTTCATCTTTCTGTATTTAATTTATTTTCCTTTCCGCAGATGGGTCTTTCCCAACACCCCTTTCAGTTCCCTTCCATGATACTCCCCATCCAACAAAACTAAAAACAAAATGAAGTTTCCTAGTTGTACTGTTTCTCAGAACTCTATACTTTTGCTTCAGAGCAAATCTGTGAACCAGACCACTGCAGCCTCCCCAGACTGGCACTCTGGTTCCAGTTTCCTTTTCCTTCTACTAGAAGTCTCAAAGCCTCAAAGAAAAGAAGGGCCTTAAGGGTGCCAGACAGGTTATATAAATGATTAGTTGGAGACAGTAGCAAACTAGAGAGTACATATCAACCACTCACAAGTCCAGCTATTTGTTACCAGAATTTGATGGATTTATACATTATTTTCCCCTAAGAGACCAAGAATCCTAATTTTCACACAAAGTATTCTAATTTTTAACTCTTGGAATAAAATAAATAAATAAACCCCCTGAGCAGAAGAGCCAAAACTATCTTGAAAAAGAGCAAAGTGAGACGAGGTCTCACGCTTCGTGATTTCAAAAGTTATGAAGCTACAGTAATCCAAACAGGGTGGTTCTGGCATAAAGACAGACACACTGAGCTATGTAATAGAAGAGAGAGCCCAGAAATAAACCCTTACATATAGTCAGATGATTTTCAACAAGGATTCTGAGAGGAAAACAAAAAAAACAAAAAAACCAAAGGCTGGAGCAGGCCAACAGAACGAGTTTATCATGGTGTACAGTTTGTAGCCTTTGTTTTCCATCAGTGAATCTGAAACTTGAGCATGCATCAGGATAACCTGAGGCTCTAAACAGACTGCTGGGCCCCACCCCCACAGCGTCTGAATCAGTAAGCTTGGGGTGAAGCGGAAAACATGGCCTTGATGAAGGTAGTGAGTTTCTCTTTATGAAGGGAGTGTCAAGAGGCTGCCTAGAAACGCTCACAGGGTACAGCTGCCCGAAGCATCTCCCAGCTCAGAGACAGAGGCGGTGACAGGGGAGTGGCTCTCGGGTAGAAAGATGCTGAAATGACTCCAAGGAACCACAATTGGCCCATGTCCAACTGAAGGACCAATTGAGGCGGGCGAAGGGCGAGACACTCAGCCAATCTTATGACAGGCACGGGTGACGCACTAGGTCGCGCGCCAGTGTGTCTGGTGACGCCATCCCGCAGCGCCGGAAGTGGGGCGGCCAAGGAGTAACGCGCACTTGTCCGTCTCCGGTGTTTCGAGGTAAGGCAGTTCGGGCCTACCTCCTGCGCTGGCCATGTTGAAGGCCGGGGGCGTGGGCCCCAGGCCGGTCCGCTGCTGTCTTCGAGTGATGTGCCTTGAACAACGCTCTCACGCCTTCTTTGCGGCAGGCGTTGCTCCCTCCTCGGGCTCCAGGGCGCCCTGCTACCCACTTTCCTCCTGCTCTCTTGGGCCGTGATTTGGCGGCGCTCACGTTGGCTTGCGCCCCCCGTTCGCGTTGTTCACCTGTGCCCCTGGCACCAGTACCTAGCTTGGTCGCAACACGAGCTGATAAAACATTAGAAAGTGGGCATTGTCCAACCCATGGAGGCGGCCCAACTTGTCAGGAAGGACATTGTTTCCGTCAAAAACTCTCTAAAAGCAACTTGAGGGCCTTTTCCAGCGTCCTCAACAGGGCTTATTGGGAAGGCCAAAAGAAGCAAGCCTGTTTTCACGCAGACCAGTGACAGCGGTTCAACAAAGCAGGGATATACTTTCCATTTGGAATTAATGTGGCCCAGGCTTGGAGCCTTTTGGGAATTTGACTTATACTGGGGATTGTTAGAACACTTGGGACAGGACTGTTCGTTTGGGCAGACAATACGGATTTGTGCCGTTTCACCTTAGTTGCACAGGCTGCTGGCAGATGGTCCTTAGCTCCTGCTTTCATCATACCTTTAGTATTAACAAGAGTGATAATAGTTTTGAATGCTTACTTTTGCCAGACACTGATCTTTACATACGAACTCATTTAGCCCTTGTAGTGTAGAGCAGTTACTAATATTGTTTTACAGTTGAAGAAGTAAAGGCTTAGGTTAACTAACTGGCCGTAAGACGCACAGTGAGTTTGTTGTGGAACCACAGTTTGAACTCACGCCGTTGGACTTCAGAGGCTTGGATGTTATCCACTATTTTTTTGTTGTTGTTAATCCTCACTGGAGGATATTTTTTGATTGATTTTTAAACAAAATTTTTTTCCTTTATTGATTTTAGAGAGAGAAGAAGGGAGAGGAAGAGAGAGAGAACCATCGATGAGAGAGAACTCAATTGGCCGCCTCCTGCATGCCCCCCACTGGGGATTTAGCCCACAACCTGGGCATGTGTCCTGACCCGGAATTGAACTGGCAAACTCTTGGTGCATGGGTCGATGCTCAACCACTGAGCCACGCTGGCTGGACTCCATTGATTTTTTTTTTTTGATAGAGTGGGAGGGAGGGAGGGGTGGAGAGAGAGAGAGAGTGAGAGAGAGAGAGAGAGAGAGAGATATCGAGATCCTGAACGACTCTGACTGGTCAGGGGATGAACCTGCAACGCAGGTACTTGCCCTTGATTGGAATCGAACCTGAGACCCTTCCATCTGAGGGCCCATGCTCTAACTGTTGAACCAAACCAGCTAGGGCTCTACTATTCTTTATTGATTTTATTCAACTGTTCATTAAGCTCCTGTACACCTCACTCTGTTGTTATCCACTGTTTTATGGGGAAAATTGAGGTCATCAGATGTGTTTTTCCTCAAATTTTTGCCTTTTCTCGTTTATAAAGTCATCTAGATTTATACCCATCTTTACCTTTTCCTTAATCCTCTGATCAAAGCAAATCCCTTTATTTGTGTTTTTGACCTTTCTTTTTACTCTCATTTATGAGACCTTGTTTTCATTTGTCTTTTCTGCCCCTGTCCCAGTCATGTATAAACAAGGTCAGGTTTCTCAGATCCCTGACTATCCCTCATCTCCACTCCCACCCTGTAAGCCAGAAAGTAAGAAAAAGTTCTTGATGATTATCTTCCTTTAGCTGTCATCCAGTAACTCTTTTCTGCTTCTTATCCAAACTGTTTTAAAGAGTATGCTAAAGTCTCTCATTTTCTTATCTCCCATTCCCTTCTGCAGTCTAGCTATTATTCCTCTGAAATTGTACCCTAAAGTCACCAGTGATTGATTCTCAAACCAGATAGTTATTTTTAAATCATTACTGGATCCCTTTTCTGCTTTTGAAGCTTGATACCTCTTACTCCCCTCTTTGCTTTCTAGGATAATACACTTAGCTGATTCATTCATTCAACATTTTTTGGGATACAGAGATAAATAAGACAAAATGCCTTCCCTTAAGGAGCTTATATTCTAGCTGTTTCTCTTTGTTCCTCTCTCACTAGTCATTTCTCCTGTGGATAGTCTTTTTCCTTCTCTCCTAAAATGTTGGGTGTTTGCAATGCTTGTGACTTTGGGCCACTGTTCTTTTCATTCTGTTCACACTGCCTGAGTGAGTACATCAACTGCCTTGGTTTTAGCTCCCTATGTGCTCTCAAATATAAATTGTCATCTTAGACACTTTCTGAGTTTCACCCTCACCTCTGAGTACCCTCCTGGAGAGCACTGCCTGCAAGTTCCTCAGGCAGTTCAAATTCAGAGGCCCTGAACTGAACTCAGCATCTTCTCTGACCTTACTCTATCACACCCATTACTAAATCCTAATGATTTTACCCCCTAAATGTTTCTGAAATCTGTGCTGTCTGCTTTGTTTCAACTATTATCCTAATTAAGGCTTCATTATCTCTCATCTGAAATATGATGGGCTTCTAACTGGTTTCCCTGCCTCAAGTTCTGATCTGTTATCCACACTACCTACCTCCTCCCTCAGATGATCTTTGAAAACAAATTTGTGTCAAAGTCCTGCTTAGTAATCTTTAAAGAGCTTTGTTCTTTCATCTGATCTATTTTGTCATTCAGCATATATTATTTACTGAATTGCAAGATCCATTGGAACTTCTAAAATTTGAGCTTCTCAGCCAGTCACCCAAGGTTCTGCTTCATTTGGACCTGCTTGTGTCTCCAACCTCTTTTCTGCTTCGTACTTTATGTTGCAGCAACACTGAACTGCATCTTCTTATGCACAGTGCTTTCTCTTTGTGTACTTGCCCTTGCCGTTCCCTTTGACTAGAATCTTCTCCTTGATTTCTGTCTCCACTTCTTGTTCCTCACCTAATTGGGTTGCTCCCTTTCACCTAGTTAACCTGGTTTATATATAGGACTCATTTTAGGCCCACTTATAGGAAACCTTTCATGTCTCCTCCTTTCTCCAACTCTGGGTTGGAGTACTCCCATTATACCCTTTTGATGGCAGATATATATTATACTTGCATCACACAATGCGAGAGAAATGTATTATGACTTTAATCCTAGCACTAGAATGGCACAAGGAACATAGTGGGCATGCAGTAATTTTGACTGAATGCTCAAATGAGCGAAGACAAAAAATATATGGTGCAGTGATTAAGAACCTGTTCTTTGAAATTAATTCAAATTCTAGCTCTGGCATACATTGGCTGTGTGACTTGAACACATTACTTATCTTCTCTAAGCCATGAGTTTTCTCTCCCTTGGAATGAGAATTGTTGTGAAGAGTAAATGAGATGATATAAATAAGACATTTCGCAAGTGCCTAGTACATAGTACACCCTTGATAAATGTATGATGAACAACATGGGGAACAGAAGTATAAGACTAGGCCTAACCTAGGACAGTGATCTCCAGAGAGCCTTCCTCTGAGTTTCCTGAATGCAGTCTGTTACAAGGAGATTTTATTCTCATCTGGAGAGTAGAATTACATCCACATTTTATTTTTAGAGAACTGTGAAGGTAAATTGACCACACTTGACAACAAGATGTAGAGAAGGGAATACAGCTCAGTGAAGGCCTTAAGGAGGAGGTGGGACTTGAAAGTTGTGAAGGATTTAGGTTTCTAGGAGGGAGGAAAGACTATAAACCAATACCAGGTAGTTACATTAAGAATTATTTATTTGAGAGACATGATTCAGTACATTGCACCTGAGGGATATATGTGTGTACAAAGATGCATGTATGTGAGTCTGGGGGAAGGGAAGAGAAAGGATGGGTAAGTGGGACTAGTTCTATGAAAAGAAGTGGGAGGGGAAATAAGTAACCTCTATGGAGTTAGAATATGAGGGTCTTAACTTCAAACCTGAGGGGTTTGGGATTGATCAGGGCTGGGCAGCCTCCTGGCTAATTTTTGACTCTAGATTTCTTCACTGCAGCCTGCCTACACACAGCTGTCGTTTCACTTTACCGTGTAGCTCAGTACCTGGCAATTGTCTCCTACTGATAGATCTCAACTTTTCAGTTTAGTGTTTTTTCAACACCTCTGCCTTTTTTTTTTTTTTTTGTTACTCTTTGGGGCAGCTCCTCTGGGTCAGTCAGTTATGGTCTGCTTTCCACCCCTCACCAATGGCTTGTCATTACTGAAATCTGTGCTGTCACTTGTGCTTTTTAAAATGGAATGTCCCGTCTTACTCCTTTTCTTCCTTATCAGTCCCATTGGCACATTGCCTTTTCAACTGGGAGGTTTCCGAAGCCTTTCCTGACAGATTCAATTTCTGTGACTTTGTAACCCCTAAACACTCGTGCTCACTATGCCTTACATTATCCTGTCTTTGCAGATGGTAATGAAACTCTCATTTTTAAAATGTGGTTTCTTTTCTCTCCTTTGGACACACAGCTTGTGCAGAGGACCTGATAGGTGTTGCCTTGCCTGCAGGGGACATTTCTTAAAGAGAGGGTATTACAGATTTGAGTATTGATAAGTTTAGGGAGTCTACGGAGACATCCCGAAGATCTAGTCCTGTGCCTGCACATACTTCCCTGCTCTGCCTCCCTGGGTGATATCATCCATCTTTCTTCCCTCCCTCCCTCCCTTCCATTTTTATTATTATTTTTTTATCCTCACCCGAGGACATCTTTTTCCATTTTTTATTCGGATAGAGTGGGAGGGAGAGAGAAGAAGAGAGAGAGAGAAACATCGACATGAAAGGGACACATCGAGTGGCTGCCACCAGCACGACCAACCATGGCTGGGGACAAACTGCAACTGAGGTACATGCCCTTAGCGGGAACCAAACCCAGTTCTCTCTGGACCGCAGGCTGATGCTCTAACCGCTGAGCCAAACTGGCCAGGGCCATCTTTTTTTTTTTTTTTTAATCCTCACTTGAGGACATATTTACTCCATTTATCTTCAGATAGAGTGGGAGGGAGGGGGAGAGAGAAAGAAAGGTAAAAAGAAAGAATGAAAGAGAGAAAGAAACATCAACGTGAGAGAGACACACTGACTGGTTGCCTCCCACACCACCCTGACCAGAGCAGGGTTCGAACCGCAACCAAGGTACATGCCCTTGACCAGAATCGAACTCGCGACTCTGTGGTCCACGGGCCGACACTCTAACCCCTAAGCCAAACTGGCTAGGGCGATATCCTTCTTTACATCATCAGCTTTTATGACATATTGATGCCTCTCAAATATATACGTTAGGTTCATTCCTGCCCCTGAGCATCATACCCATACATCCCAGCTTGACCCTTGGATCTTTCATAGGCAACTTAATCTAATTGTGTTTTAATCTGAAATCATCCCTTCTTCACCTACTGTTTAACCTCAGATTATGTCTCTCTGTATTCTTCTTTTTGGTTAATGGGTATTTCCAAATTAGGAATCCTGGTTATCTCCCTTTACTCCTTTGTCATTCCCCAAATGCAGTCAGTAACTAAGTCTACTTTCCTCATTTCTTCTGACTCTTCTTCCTCTCCATCCCCTTGTTCTGCCTTTGCTCAGGCAGAATTTCTTGTCTCTTTCTCTTCTGGTCTTAAGGGTTGTTTTTTTTAATCCTCACCTGAGGACATTTTTTTCATTTTTTTGTTCAGATAGAGTGGGAGGTTTATGAGTCTATCTGTCCCGTTGTACTCCAGGCCCTACCAGGATAGGGACCGTGTTTAATCATTCTTTGATCCTCAGTCTGTAGCCTAATGTCCAGCACATAAAGTATATCAATAAACATAGCAAATATTTTGATTGCTTAGCATGACTCAGGCACAGAAGTGAATACCTTACCCACATTATCTCAGTTAATCCTTAGTTAAAATGTGAGTCCTGTCATTATCACATTTTACAGGTGAGGGAATTGAGACTTAGGGAGGTGAAGTCACTTGCCTCCAGATGAAAGCTGGTAAATGGCATGTGTGGTGTGCTGGGGTGTGGCCCTGGGGGACTTGTGCTAGATTTTTGAGGATTCTGTTCTGTTTTGTCTCTCAGAGTAATGATGCGGGTATGCTGGTTGGTGAGACAGAATAACCGGCACCAGCGAATCAAACTTCCACATCTGGAAGCAGTCGTGGTTGGGCGAGGCCCAGAGACCAAGATCACTGATAAGAAATGTTCTCGACAACAAGGTAACTGGTCACAAGAATGTGGAGAGCACCATGTTTGGTTCCTTAGAGTAGTGATTACCAAAGGTACATATTTTCTGGGTGCTAATGATGGAAAACCTTTGGTCTGCCGTAAGCAAAACTCAGGAACTGAGCTCTTTTAGCCAACACCATTCAATCCTGATTCCACTCTCTGAAAGCAGATACAGTTCAGTGTTGGGAACAGATGGGTCCTTCCTTTCACTGTGGGTGGTGGAACTGAGTCCTGCATCCTGCTTTGCCCAGGGAGGGTCTGTGTTTGGTGGGGAGATAGTTGAATTCTGGGATCTCCAGGCTGAAACCATGTCTGAGAAGTGATGGGATGGTTCCATCCTTTACATACTGCCTCATACAGAGGGTGATATCTTATAAGACTATGGTATCTAGCTCTTGAAATGTCATGCCTGGGATTTAATGAAATGAAAGTTCTTAGGAAAAAGCCTTACTAGGTACCTAGTTTTTTGCCTGTAAACTTCTGGATGTGCTTACTGCTACCAGGTCTCTGACCTGCAGTGTGTTCCCCATAACAGGGTTGCCCAAGGCTTGGAGTCTGCAGCACTGATTATTGGTTTTACCACTTGAATTAGTCTAAGTTGGGCAGGGGCGGGAGTCATGCTTGACCTGGCTAGGCCCAAAATACAGAACCAGATGCTTCTCACTCTCTGTCTCTCTGCTCACAGTAACAGTGTGTAGGTCCACTGTGTAGGTCCACCTGTCCTCTGCCTGTCCTCCTTGGAGAGCATCTGTGGCATCTCTCTTCTTTGCTCTCTGTCTAACCCCAGAAACTTTGTTCACTTATCTGAGCGTTAGTGTTAAATGTTACTTCCTCCCACACATGCTCAGACTATTCTGTCTGAATGTTCCTCTTTCTGGAACATTCTCTCTACTCCTTCTACCCAAGAACAGCTAAACTTCTGTTTTTCAGGAATGTATCACTTGCCCCTTTCTCTGTTATAGGCATCTGATAGTTTTATGTAGTAGTGGAAGCCTGATTTAATCCTGAGCCAAGAGCTTGTGAGAGAAGTGGGTCCCCTTCCCTGACTGCAGAGGCTGTGATCCCAGGTAGGCCAAGGCTCTGGAATAGGGAGACTTGTGGGGACTCAGTGAAGCTGCCTCACAGGGATATTAGCAGTAGCTAAGGGAGTAAGTACACTGTTGGATATTTTATGGAAGGGTTTGGAGCCTCAGCCACCTGCATAATGGGCAGTTTTGCTTATAGACCTTCAAGGAAACTGCTGTCAAGTTGCCTCCTAGAGTTAGGCTTCATTGTCCTGTACAGAGAATAGGAGCAAGTGCCTGGTTCTTCATGGTATTTGGGTTTAACTTTTTTCACTCTTCTTCCAGTGCAGTTGAAAGCGGAGTGTAACAAAGGATATGTCAAGGTAAAGCAGGTATGTCTGTTTGTAACTTGGATTTCCATTTTCTATTTGATGGGCTTCTTAGTTGTTGACTTTAGAGTGTTTGGGCCAGCCAGTAAGTCTTCTCTGTCATGTATGGAAGTGATGGAGTAATATAAGTGAACATTAAGCATGGTGCCTGGCACATAGTAAGTGGTTAACAAAGCTGTGGCTATATTAGTGATGGTATTTTTGCTATTTTTGTAATTATTTTCTGATTATTTCATAGGTAGGGGTCAATCCCACCAGCATTGACTCAGTCATAATTGGGAAGGACAAAGAGGTGAAGCTGCAACCTGGCCAGGTTCTCCACATGGTGAATGAACTTTATCCATATATTGTAGAGTTTGAGGAAGAGGCAAAGAGTCCTGGCCTGGAAACATACAGGAAGAGAAAGAGGTCAGGCAGCAGTGATTCTGTAGAAAGGGATGCTGCCCCGGAAGCTGAGCCCAGTACAGGACTGGAACCTAGGAGCAACCCTAGCCAGTCCTTTGTGCCTCCGAACAAGGGGACAGATAAATCTACGAAAAAGGTGAGGGCAGTGTGCTTGATAGATGATGTGGAGATTAAATGAGTTATAATGACCGCTTAGTTGTTTTGTACACTGTAAAGCCCAGACACAAATGCAGAGTTATTTATTAGCCATGGTAAGGGTTATTAACCATGATGAAAGAGTCACTTGTTTGTGTCACCAGTCACTTGGGTGAATGTCCCTTTATGTACTTTTCTCGAATTCCTGAGGTAAGCCACTTGAAGGTAGGGCGGTACTGGCAGTGTACTTAACACTGAGCTACTAAAATGGGTCAGTCATTTATATTTCTAGAAGGTTAGCATTGGAACACTTTTCATAGAGTATGTGATTCACATCCTGATGTCAAAGTGGAAACCTAGACAGGCTTAGATGGAGTGAGACAGAACAAAGAGGATTTGCTTCACATTCTGGCATTTCCAGCCTCCGTCTAGACATGCAGCCCTGAATCCAGGGAGAAAATGGGGATGGTTTATGGTTACAAAGGCAAAAGATTGAGATAAAAGGGATATAGTTTAATTCCTTTTTAAATATTTTTTTAAATTAATTTTTTAGAGAGAAAGGAAGGGAGAGAGAGATAGAAACATGTGTGTGAGCCTGGCCAGTGTGGCTCAGTGGTTGTGCGTTGATCCATGCACCAGGAGGTCGCCGGGTCGATTCCCAGTCAGGGCACATTCCCAGGTTGTGGACCAAATCCCCAGTGGGGTGCATGCAGGAGGCGCTCAGTCGATGTTCTCTGTCATCAGTGTTTCTGTCTCTCTCTCCCTCTCCTTTCCTCTCTCTCTAAAATCAATAAAGAAAAAAAAATTAAAAAAAAAAAAAAAAGAAACATCTGTGTAAGAGAGACACATCAATCTGGTGTCTCCATACATGCACCCCACTGGGGATCCAGCCCACAACCCAGACATGTGCCCTGCCCTGGTATCGAACCAGGACCTCTCAGTCCATGGAAAGACACTCAATCCACAAAGCCATGCTGGCTGGGCAGATATAGTTTAATTCTTAAAAATTAACCTTATTTTCGAGTTTAGTTGGACTTTGCTGACATTCAGTGTTAACTAATGCAAAATTTAACTATTGGCATTTGTGATTTTCATTGCCCTTTTTGTTTTAGAAATCATTGGGCCACTGGAGCCAAGGCTTGAAGATTTCTATGGAGGACCCCAAAATGCAGGTCAGAGTAATATTTTGGCATTGAAATACATTTCATGTTTTAAATGATCACTCTGCAGAGGTCATAACTACAAATAAAATAAAAGAAGATCAGTCCTTCTGAATGAGATTTGTTTTATTGGGCTATTTTGTGAGAACAGGTAGCTGGAATTCTTTGGAGACAAACTAAGTTCTTCAAATGAATATCCCCTCTGCCTTGTTCCTCCTAAACTTCTGGATACTATTAAGGGAAGTTGAATTAATCTTACTGTGGTCCCTGTGATTGCAGTTACTGGGCTGCCCTGGGATTAATAGTCATGCATTACCCTGGGAGGAGTCTTTGAATTCTTCTTAAATTATATCCTGGGGTGTTAAGGGGCCAGATCTGATAGGGCTTCTTGGAACACAGGTGCAGATGTCATGTGGTCTGCTGTGGTAGAGTGGAGAGGGAGCATTTGAATTGATGCCTGCAGGGATTTCATTTCAGATCCTTGGGAACTACTTTGTGTTGTGCATTTTCTGAGTAGTGTGGTGATTCAAACACAGATTACAGTCAACTAGATTTGGGTTGCAATCCTAGATTTCCTACTTAGTAACTGCGACTGTCCAAGAGACTCAACTTCTCTGAATCTTTGTGAATCTGTCAAAATTGGGATACTAAAAACTTTTGCAGAAGATTGCGGTCTGGATTAAGTGACTTAATGAATATGACAGCTCCTGGCACACAGAAGATGCATGGATGATGTTTGTTTCCTTCTCCTGTGCCCCTCTGCTAGGTTTACAAAGATGAGCAGGTGGTGGTGATTAAGGATAAATACCCCAAGGCTCGTCACCACTGGCTGGTCTTACCATGGACCTCCATTTCCAGTCTGAAGGCTGTGACCAAGGAACACCTTGAGCTCCTCAAACACATGCATGCTGTGGGAGAAAAGGTGATTGCAGATGTTGCTGGGTCCAGCAAACTCCGCTTTCGATTGGGCTACCACGCCATTCCCAGCATGAGGTAAGTCCTGTGGGTAGTGCTGGTGCATCCTGATTATGTCTAGGTGGACAGATAGATTCAGCCTGGGTCTGCTGAGTGTTCTGATAGCTGCAAGGATGAGGGGTGTAGGGTGGGATGTTTCCAAGGCAGTTGGCTGAAACTTTACTCTTTTGCATGCCTTGCCTATAAGCCTTGAGTTTCTACTTCTGCTTATAATTCAATCACATACTTTTTTTTTGTTCCTCTCAAAGTGTAAACCTCTGAGAACCTAAGCTATGAACTAGATGAAGCAGCTTTATTAGTCTCTGATGAAGAACTGTGGTCAGTGACTTTTCAGAAGCCTCAAAATCCCTAAGTGATTAAGGACCATTGCTCTGAAGGACACAAACATCACTGACTTCTGTCATGACAGTTTAGTAGATATAAAAGTTAAAATAAAATGAGAGAAAAGTGCAGAGCCTGTTTTCTTTTGGCTCATACCCAGAAGGCCTCAGAAAGGAATGATTGATTCTGCAAGCAAGGCAGATCTCCACAGTTCTTTACAGCTAAACAACAAGATAAGCACACTAATTGGATTTCAGAGGTTTTGTCTTGTTTGTGTGTGTGTGATGAAATATACATAACATAAAATTTATCATTTTAATCATTTTCAAGTATCCAGTTCAATGGCATTAAGTACATTTACATTGTGCAATCATCACCACTATCTATTTCTAGAATTTCCTTCATCTTCCCACACTACTTCCCATTCTCTCCTCCCCCAGGGACCATCTCGAAACCACCATTTTACTTTCTGTCTCTCTGAATTTGACTACTCTAGATATTGCATATAAGTGTGATTATATAGTATCTATCTTTTTGTAACTGACTTATTTCACTTGAGATAATCCTTCAAGGTTCATCATGTTGTATCATGTATCAGAATATCTTTTGGACCCAGCTGATGTGGCTCAGTGGTTGAGCATTGACCCATGCACCAAGAAGTTTGATTCCTGGTCAGGGTACATGCCCAGGTTGTGGGCCAAATCCCCAGTTGGGGCATGCAGGAGGCGGCCAATCGATGTTTTCTTTCATCGATGTTTCTATCTCTCTCTCTAAAATCAATAAAGAAAAATAAAATAAAATAGCACATCTCATTAAAAAAAAAGAATACCTTTGGTTATTTTTTTTAAGCACTCAACATTTTATTTAGGTGGGTATTTATGACTTAGATTACTGGCTACTTAATAAAATATTTTTGTGCTACATTTTTCCCCCATCAGTACTCTTTCTTTTAAATTGAGACATAACATACATAGAATAAAAATGCATAAGATTTATAGTTTGACCAGTTTTTTCTTCTTGTTGCAAGTGTTACAAATGTCCTCCCTTTTTTTTTTTTAATCCTCACCCGAGGATATTTTTCTACTTATCTTCAGATAGTGTGGGAGGGAGAGAGGGAGAGAAAAGGAAGAGAAAGAGAGGGAGGGAGGGAAGGGGGGGGGAGAGAGAGAGAGAGAGAGAGAGAGAGAGATTGAAATATTCCTGTAAGTGGGACACATTTACTGGTTGCCTCCTGCACGACCCCAACCAGGGCTGGGGACGAACCCACAACCAAGATACGTGCCCTTGACTGGAATCAAACCCGCTACTCTTTGGTCCTCGGGTTGACGCTCTACTGCTGAGTCAAACTGGCCAGGGCCAGATGTCCTCTCTTTTTATCCCCAATGATCCCCTCATCCCCACTCCCACTCCCCTCTTGCTTTTCTCCAACTAATATCTGTGTCCATTGGTTGTGCAAGTTTGATCAGTTTTGACAGATGGACATACCATGTAATTATCACTCTGACCATGATACAGAACATTTTTGTTATCTCATCTCAGAAAGCTCATTTGTGCTTTTTCCACTTAATCCTCCCCCAAGCATTGTTATGATTTCTTTCAACATAGATTGTTTTTTTCCGTTCTCATATCAATGGAATCATATAATGTGTGCTCTTTTTTTATTTCTTTTTTAATCGTCACCTGAGGATATTTTTCTTTTTTTAAAATCTTTATTGTTGAATGTATTACAGATGTTCTTCATTTTTCCCCCATTGACCCCATCTTCCCCCCTCCCGCCTTTTCCCACACTATTGTCTGTGTCCATTGGTTATGCATATAAGTTCTTTGGTTTATTTCTTCCCACCCCCCCAACCCCTTTCCCTTTGAGGTTTGTCAGTCTAGCAATGAATTTGTGCTTCTTAATCCCTTCACCTTTTTCACCCATTCCCCCAAGCCCCCTCCCATCTGGCAACCAACAAAGTGTTCTCTGTATCTATGAGACTGTTTCTGCTCTGTCTGTTCATTTTGTTTGTAGATTCCATTGTTGATAGATATGTATTCATTGCCATTTTGTTTGTTCATATATTTTATCTTTTTCTTCAAAAAGACCCTTCATCATTTCATATAATAACGGTTTGGTGGTGATGAACTCCTTTAACGTTTTCTTGTCTGGGGAAGTCTTTATATGGCCATCGACTCTAAATAACAGCTTTGCAGGATAGAGTAATCTTGGTTGTAGGTTCTTGGTTTTCATCACTCTGAATATTTCTTGCCACTCCCTTCTGGCCTGCAAAGTTTGAGAAATCAGCTGACAGCCTTATGGGTACTCCCTTGTAGGTAAGTAGCTGCCTTTCTCTTGCTGCTTTTAAGATTCTCTCTTTGTCTTGAACCGTTTGCATTTTGATGATGATGTGTCTTGGTGTGGGAATCTTGGGGTTCATCTTGCTTGGGACTCTCTGTGCTTTCTGGACTTGTATGTCGGTTTCCTTAACCAAGTTAGGAAAGTTTTCTGCCATTATTGTTTCAAACAGGTTTTCAATTTCTTGTTCTCTCTCTCGTCTCCTTCCGGCATCCCCATGATGCGAATGTTGGCATGCTTAAAGTTGTCCCAGAGGCTCCTTACACTATCCTCATTTTTTTGGATTCCTTTTTCTTTTTGCTGTTCTGATTGGGCGTTTTTTGCTTCCTTATATTCCAAATCAATGATTTGCTTCTTGGATTTACGTACTCTACTATTGAATCTTTGTAAATTATTCTTTATTTCAGTTAAAGCCTCCTTCGTTTCTAACTTTGCATCGATCATTTCTGACTGTACCTTTTTTATGCTCTTGAGGCCCTTACTAAGTTCATTGAGCATCCTTATAAGCAGCATTTTGAACTCAGCATCTGTTAGGTTGCTTATCTCCATTTTCCTTAGTTCTTTTCTTGGGATTTTGTTCTGTTCTTTCATTTGGGATCTGTTTCTTTGTCTCCTCATTTTGGCTGCCTCCCTGTGCTTGTTTCCGTGTATTACTTAACGAGCGGTGTGGAGCTAGCTGAGACCAGATGCTGCTCGTTTGAAAAAATTTAGGAAAACCTGAAGCAGGATCCAAGACAGGTCAATCCTATGGTTAAGCAAGTGCCAACAGCTTGGGTGGGCCTGAAAGTTGGGTGGGGTGGGGCCTCAGGGAATCATCAGGGCGGAGCTACCAGTGTGAGCCAGGTTGCTGGAGTCCCAGATGTGGTGGCTGTTTGCCGCCCCAGGGAAGGGCTCACCAAAGGAACAAAGGCCTCTGACAGTACGTTTGCCCCGGAGAAAGCCCCCTCTCCAGCCCTCGCTCCAATGCCAAACAGCTTAGTTCTTCCCTGTATGTCTCTGGTGCCCCTCGAGCTGCCTCCCCTCTAAGCTTAGAGGGACTGAGTTTGATAAGTTCGTGCGCGGGCCCTTTAAGGAGCTGCCTGGGGCTCCAGCTGCCTCAGCTTCTCTGAGCCTCAGTTCCCGCTGGTTTTTCCAGCCAGAAGTTATGGGGACTTCTCTTCCTGGCACTGGAACCCTGAGCGGGGCATCTGGTGTGGGACGGGGACCCCTCAGTGCTCAGGGAGGACCTTCCCAGCAGAGGTATCCTCCTGATTTTTATCCACCACACGTGGGTGTGGGACCAGCCCGTCTCACAGCCATCTTGCCGCTGCCCCTCGTGCCTCTGCCCCTCCGCTCCTCAGACCAGTCTTGATGCAGCTTCTTTAATTCCATCTTTGTAGGACTTCCATTCAGCTTGATTTCAGGCGGTTTTGAATGACAGTTTTTCTGTAGTTTAGTTGTAACTTGGATGTGGTTGTGGGAGGACGCGATACTGCATTTACCTACGCCGCCATCTTGACCGGAAGTCTGGATTGATACTTTCAATATTATGTGGTGACCTTCTCTGTCTATTATTATGGCCCTTGTTTTAAAGTCTGTCTTGTCAGATATGAGTATTGCCACACCAGCTTTTTTTTCATTTCCATTTGCTTGAAAAAAATTTTTTCATCTCTTTACTTTCATCCTGTGTGAGTCTTTTGTTGTGAGGTCGTTCTCTTGTAGACAGCATATATGTGTGTCGTGTTTTCTTATCCAATCAGCTACGCTATGTCTTTTGATTGGACCATTTAAGCCATTTACATTTAAGGTAGTTATTGATAGATAGTTATTAGTTGCCATTTTAATTTTATGTGTGTGTTCCTCTCACTCTCTTTCTCTCTCTCTCTCTGTTTCTTCTTCTTACAATATTCCCTTCAGCATTTTTTGCAGTGCTGGTTTGGTGGTGGTAAATTCTTTAGTGTTTTTTTTTTTTTTTTTTTTTTTTTTTTTTTTAATCTGTGAAGCTTTTTATTTCTCCTTCAATTTTGAATGATAGCCTTGCTGGATAGAGTAGTCTTGGATTCAGACCCTTGCCTTGCATTACTTTGTACACCTCACGCCACTCCATTCCGGCCTATATCGTTTCTATTGAGAAATCAGCTAACAGTCTAATAGGAGCTCCCTTGTAGGTAACTTTCTGTCTCTCTCTTGCTTCCTTTAAGATTCTTTCTTAGTCTTGCCCTGGCCAGTTTGGCTCAGCGGTTAGAGTGTCGGCCTGCGGTCCGGAGAGACCGGGGTTCGGTTCCCGCTAAGGGCACGTACTTCGGTTGCAGTTTGTCCCCGGCCCTGGTTGGTCGTGCGGGTGGCAGCCACTCGATGTGTCCCTTCACGTCGATGTTTCTCTCTCTCTCTCCCTTCCTCTCTCTCCCTCCCACTCTATCTGTACAAAAAAATGGAAAAATATCCTCGGGTGAGGATAAAAAAAAAAAAAGATTCTTTCTTAGTCTTTAATGTTTGCCATTTTTATTATGATGTGTCTAGCTGTGGGCCTTCTGGGGTTCATCTTGCTTGGGACTCTCTGTGTTTCCTGGACTTGTGTGACTTTTTCCTTCACCAGTTTAGGGGTTTTCTGTCATTATTTCTTCAAACAGGTTCTCTATTCCTTTCTCTGATTCTTCTTCTGGTATCCCTATAATGCGAATATTGTTATGTTTTGTATTGTCCCACAGCTCTCTTAACCTTTCCTCCTGCTTTTTAAATTTTTTTTTCTATTTGCTGCTCTATTTGAGTGTTTTTCCCTACCTTGTCTTCTAAGTCACTGATTCAGTCTCTCTCTTCTTTCCTCTCTGTCTGGGAAGCTGAAGCAGGTATCAGGAATCTAGTTCACTGGTAAACAGGCTCATTCACACACTCCAGGAAACTGCAGCCAAGCAGACTTAATCCTCCAAAAAGACAGGAAAACCATCCCCGGGATAGTTGAGAATATAATTTCTACAATGGCAGAGGCCTTTGCCGTTCTGTTCACTGCTAAATTCCCAGTGTTAGAACAGCACTTGGCCCTCTTAGGTACTTAATGAACATTAAATAATCTTAAGTGAATGAATGAATTGAATTAAATGGAAACACTGTCAATATTTTACATACACATGTACTGTTTGTCCTTTAATTGAGCAGTAGTCTTGAATGGATTTAATCATTAATTTTTTCCCCCTCTCAACTAGCCTATTACACCTTCATGTGATCAGCCAGGATTTTGATTCTCCTTGCCTCAAAAACAAAAAACATTGGAATTCTTTTAATACAGAATACTTCCTAGAATCTCAAGGTAAACAGTATTCTTTGATTTTCACATTTGTTTCATTTTTTCAGCTGCTCTTATACTTGATTTGGTTGTTTCCTTAAATAATAACCTGGTCTTAAAAACCAAAGTATAATTAACTCTGTGTTCCCTATAAAGAGAGCCCCAGTAAAAGAAACTTGATTATTTGGATTATAGTAAGATTGTCACTTGGCTGTGAGCAGCCTTCTTGGGGGACCTAGACAGCTGTTTTGTCAGGGTCGAAAAGGTGTTTTATTATAACACCAGGGAACTTAAAATTTTTTCTGAGAGTTATTGGAGTTCTTAGATGTGAAAGCTCTGAACAGTTCTATGTCTCTTCTGCCATCTGCTGGGCAGGAGTGGTTAACTAACAGGAGAAGGCTGTGTGTGCAGAAGGAAGCATTTCCCAGTGTGACTCAGTATGCTGGGAGGTTAATAATGACAGCTGCCATTGACCAGGGGCCAACCAGGGGTGAAGTACTGTGATAAGCCTTTGATATAGTAACACGGATTGCTTAAAGTGTATCTCGAAGGAATATAATCATGTCTGAAATGGGTTTCTCAGATTTAGAATCTGATCAAGCCCATTTCCCTTGCAGTGAGTTAACCTAAAATTTACTAGCTTTAGGATATCTGGCATATATTTATTTGGGGTCAGATTTTTTTTGTTTGTTTTAAATTTTGTATTGGCTTTTCAGAGTAGTTGGGTTCTGAACTTTTTTCCTTGCTTGCAGCTGTGATTGAAATGGTACAGGAGGCTGGCAGAGTAACCGTCCAAGATGGTATGCCTGAACTCTTGAAGCTGCCCCTCCGTTGTCACGAGTGCCAAAAGCTGCTGCCTTCCATCCCTCAGCTGAAAGAGCATCTCAGGAAGCACTGGCCCAAGTGATTCTGTGGAGCCTGAACTTCTGTATTAAGTATGGCTGATTGTTTAGCGCAAACCCCTGGTACCTGTTCTGGATTGCTTGTGAACTTTTACTTATTTCTTGAATTAAAAAATGCAGGTGTTTTTTTTTTTTTTAAACAGAGCTTGTTTTATTCCTGAGCGGCTACAATGTGGGGGTGACTTGAAATAGTTCAGGAATTAGGAATTTGGGTTTGTCATGGATGTGTTGTGTTCTCTGGTTAGTGAGGGTAGCTGGGATACGCCTTACCACCACTTCCAGGACCCATGTCAGCTCTGACTAATGGGAGCAAAGCCACTTTCAAACTGATGTGATGCAGGATATGGAAGCAGAGTGCTGACTATATATTTCTGCTCCTTACATTTATCCTCCTTCTTCAGAGGCATGCGGTACCCTTTCTTCAGAGCAGCAAGGGGGTCTCTTGTTTATCTTGAAGGCACTGTTTGGTGGTGTTCTCTGATATTTTTAAATTAAAAAACATTTTTTAAAAATTACAGTTTATATTTAATATTACTTTGTATTAGTTTCAGGTGTACAGCATAGTGATTAGACAATCATATACTTTACAAAGTGTTCTCCTTGATATTTCCAGTACCCAGCTGGCACCATACAGGTACTACAATATTGTTGGTTATATTTCCTATGCTGTACTTGCTCTCAATCTTAATCTGTTCTGTAATATTCTTTCCCTTTCCTCCCTTCATGAGGAGACTTAGTTTCTTCTGTCCCTTTCATATTTTTCTATCCCAAACCACCCAGTTACTAGGCATTGAAATTCTTTTCAAAATCATAGGCTTATTGGTGAAGAACAGACTCTGGATTCAGATCTGGGTCCCAGTCCTTGCTCTGCTATGTAAACTGAGGGATCTTGCGCAAGTTCCTTATTATCTCTGAACTTCAGGGTTATAAGGGATTAAATAAAATAGTTTATGTAGAAGATTAAGCATTGTATCTGGCATAGAGGACTAAATAATGGTAACTGACAGCCTGGCTCTTTGCAGTTGCTGTGATGGAAGGCTTCATCCTCCAGCTTCACGGCTCTAAGGAAGTTCTGGGTCTGATAGTTGTGATCCCATCCCAGCATACTGTCTGCTTGGACTGTGCTTTGAAATCCACAGAGCTCTTAAGATTCTTCCATAGACTAGATTTTTTTAAAATTTATTTTTTATTTTTTAATCCTCTCTTGAGGATATTTTTCTATTTATCTTCAGGTAGAGTGGGAGGGAGAGAGAGGGAGAAAAAAGGAGAGAGAGAAACATCAATGTGAGAGGGATACATCGACTGGTTGCCTCCCGCACCACCCCGACCAGGGTCGGGGACGAACCGCAACCACGTTTGTGCCCTTGGCCAGAATTGAACCCGAGACTCATTGGTCCATGGGCTGATACTACACTGCTGAGCCAAACTGGCCAGGGCCATAGACTAGATTTAAAAAAATATGATGAAAGCTCTGAAGCCTGCTCCCCAGAATAATGGGTGTGTATATGTATGCATGTGTGTGTATACACACACACACACACACACACACACACACATTGTATATACGTTAGTAGGGAGTTTATATACATTACTAGGTCATTTATGAAGCCTCTGAAGTGCTTCTGTAGACTCCCTAGGAGTCGGTGGACCTCAATTTAAGAACCTCTGCTCTGGAGAAAAGGGTCATCACCATGAGTCTGGGATTTCAGGAGGTGTCTGGGATTACTATGGAGGGCCAGGGGACAGATGTCATCTCCAGGATGTTTCTGGGATGCTCTCCTTTGATCTTTTGCTCCTCTCTCAGCCCTTTGGTATGTGCACATCCTAGGGGAGGCTGGAGATGGAATTCAGGCCCAGGATCTGCTAGCTCCAGTTTAGCCACCACACTCAGGGACATAGGGAACTTCCTAGCAAGTCTAAGGGGTTTGGGAACCCTGGCTAACAGACTATTCATAAGCCTTGAATCTATTACTGAAATGAGTATCTTGGGAAGAACAGTACTACTCATTAGCACAAATAGATGACCTGCTTCGTGACTGTCCCAGGACAGTGGGAGTGGCCATATTTCTTGGCACAGTATAGTAACAGTACAAACTGTACTGAAGATCCAGTACAGCTTCTAGCAGCTTGTACTATTCACAAAGGCAGATATTATTCTGAGGCCCCAAAGTACTTGAGAATTACAGAACATTTAATTAAACTTTAGATAAAGTACCCAGTGAACGGTTTCAAAATAGGTATTGCAAAAGCATTCAATTTAATTTTCTACCTAATCAGCAATGCTATATAGTTTAGCATATCAATAATAAAATCAAAATGAGAATATTTGATAAGAAACTGCAACTTAGGAGAGACTTTACCACAGACAGTGTAATAACATACGAGATGCAATGAAGGAAATTTTGGAAGAGTGGGTGACCACCCTTACATTCTTTGTTCAGCCAGGCTACTCAGTGACCTTGAAGAAAGAACAAATGTAAATAATGACTTGGAGGGGCCAGAAAAAGGATGTGAACTATTGAGGTATATAGGCTTCATGCCATGCCCTCTCCCAGGTGGGCTATTGTTGACATTATTACAGGAAAAAATTACCTTTCTTTGCTTATTTAATTCAGATTTATCATTGTGTTACAATTGGGTGGAGTCTTTTCAAGGTATAGGGCATACTGGCATGAAACAATACACCAAAAACATGTAAATCACATTTGTGATGCCAAGTTATATAGTATTTCCTTCATTAGGGACTCTCCTCTTTTATCTTGGCCCCATCATAGCCAAGTAAGGCAGCAGTTTTATTAAAACAAAGCAGTTGATCTAGGAGGGTAAAGGAGAAACATCTGTAACAAAAATAAATTAATAAAAATTGGAGCCCTGGCTGGTTTGGTTCAGCGGTTAGAGTGTTGGCCTGCGGTCCAGAGAGACCTGGGTTTGGTCCCCGCTAAGGGCGCGTACCTCGGCTGCGGTTTGTCTCCGGCCCTGGTTGGTCGTGCAAGTGGCAGCCACTTGATGTGTCCCTTTCACATCGATGTTTCTCTCCTCTCTCTCTCTTCCTCTCTCTCCCTCCCACTCTATCTGAACAAAAAATGGAAAAATGTCCTCGGGTAAGGATAAAAAATAAATAAAAAAGCAGCTGAGTATGGATGGTTACTTCAACTCTAGCTAAGAAGGCAGATTTATCAAGTTCTGTTGCTGTAAAGAAGGTAGATACATACAATGTGACAGTCAGAGCTGAACTGGAACCCGAAACTGAGCAGGCGGATGCTTTCTATGAGACCATGGAGGATAGACCTTGAACAGTTAATAACAGATCTTAAGTCAGAGCTGGAGAATAGGGCTCTCAAAGTCCATTAGACTCTGAATTGGAGTAATCTGATATTTATAATTTAATCTGTTAACTTTTTTTTAAAGCAAACAAACAAACTCAACTATCAGGTAATTGGCTTTGGGTTTTAGTCTCCTAATGATTAGGGTTCTCATGCTTCTGACTCAGGGAGGGGCCAGTAGGTGAGCATTATACAGGCAATTGTCAAATGACTCATAAAATCAGTGACATACTTAAATGACTGTGAGTTCCCCTATTGCAGCTGCTCTCTACGCAAACCTTAGGGAAGGGAATGGGCAGGGCAGGGAAGTGGGAAAGGAGTTTAGATCTCTAGGATTCTGGGCCACTCACTACTCAACTCCTTTTGCCTGTTCTATTTTGCAAATTCATTTTGAGACCATCTATTTCAATTTCCTCAATTTTTAGAAGGCAGCTGGGACGTGGAGGTGTAAGGGGCTCATTTAGCAATTTAAACTAGGTCTTGAAGTCCTCTCCTTGACTCTTCCCAGATGCTCTCAGGCACTGACATCTTATTTACGAAGAATTGACATCGCTGCTAAGTCCCACTCACTTCTGTGTCCTGCCTCAATATTTTTTTTTCATCTAAGGGTAGAGTAGGAAAAAAAAGGACTTAGGCTTGTATTTGAGGCTCAGCTCTGTTCCATATTAGTTGTGTGACACTGAGGTCATTTAACCTCTCTGGTCTTAATTGCATCATCTGTCAAATGGAGTTAAAATATATACTTCCCACATTAAGGAGCATGAACCTGACAGGGCCAGGTACCTGTGTGGTCCAGTACTCATTAATCCTAGTCTCTTCTGCCAAACTTGAATCCCAGCAAAATTCTCTCAGGCAAGCCTCTTTTCCTCTCAGCCTTGGTTTCTCATATTTAAAACTAGGGCCTTGGAAAGAAGTCTTGGATTATACTTAAAGTCCCTCCCTGTAAGATTTGAGTCTTCAAGCTTCAGCTTGTTCGCGCCTATTGCTCTGTCCTCAAGGTCTTTTTTCCCTAAGATCAAAATTGGCAGATGTGTTCTCTAAAGTGCAAGAGATTCTTTGCATCCATGCCTTCACCTATAAAGTAAGTTTTTTTTGATATTAGTGTTTTATTGAGAAAAGTACACAAAACCCACCTGTGTATACAACCTCAGATGAACATAACCTCACACCTCCTGTTTTCTTACAAAAGCATCATTTCTTAGGAGTAATGTCTTGCTCATTTCAGCACGTATCTCAGTTAATTTGATTCCTTTTCCTCCAGGCTCAAAATAAAATCAAACTCCTCTTGGGTCAGGGGCTGACCTGTGAGTCTCTGGAGTGTGAAGAGCACCATATTTTTTAAAGGGCCTTTGGTGGCTTAGTGAGCTTGGTGATGGATTTTGAGCTCAGCCAGGGGAATGAAACACTTCATCATCCCAGCAAACTGTACATCCACAATGGACAGTTTGGGGTTGTCTCTTTTTTTTTTGATCCTCACTGAGGATATTTTTTTGTTTATCTTCAGGTACAGCATGAGGGAGAGAGAGAGCGAGAGCGAGAGAGAGAGAGAGAGAGATTGATGTGAGAGGGAGACATCGATTGGTTGCCTCCCGCACGACCCCAACGGGGCCGGGGCTGAACCGCAACTGAGGTACGTGCCCTTGGTTAGAATCGAACCCGGAACTCTTTGGTCCACGGGCCAATGCTCTAACTGCTGAGCCGAACTAGCCAGGGCAGGGTTTTTTTTTTGTTGTTGTTGTTGAATGGATCATAATAGGAATTGCTTTTCTCAAACTGTGTGGTCTAGGAAAGCCTCCTTCACAATCTTCATAAATCCTGCGCCTGGTTCTTTGCAGTTGCTGTGATGGAAGTCTGCATCCTTCAGCTTCACGGCTCTAAGGGAGTTCGGGCCTGATAGTTGTGATCCCATCCCAGCATGCTGTCTGCTTGGGCTGCGCTTTGAAATCTTCAGTGCTGAACCTCACATTTATACCTTTCTCTAATCGGCTTTCTGGCTCTGACTTCATCAGCCAGTAGCTGCTTAGATTCTTTCCACATTTTTTAGAGCTGAAGTCTTCTGAGGGCTGGAGTTTTCCATTTTAGTTGATGTCTCACCTGGGTGTCTTAGTCTTGGTACGCTTTCCTGCTGGTCCCTTCTTGTCTGGCCAAGCAACCCCAGCCAGCCTCTTCTTGGGTCTTGGCATGGTCTTCCTGCACGGGGCTGAAGAGCAGAAGATTCTGGAATCCACTGAGAAATACAGATGGCAAGTCTATCTACCCTCAGAAACCGCTTCACAGACCCCAGTCCCTAAAGTAAGTTTTCTTTTTCTTTTGAAGAGAACATTCAAATTTTATTGTCACATATAAAACAAAATATAAAGCTTAGAAACAGATCACTTGGCCCTTTGTCTTCTTCTCTCCTCCAAGATAAGATGCAGTGTTTGCATTTCTGAATCACTACAGTTCTCTTAGATCTGCAGTTGGGCTCAATATACTCAAGCCTCAGCACAATCTTCTTTGGAGTTTGAACCTTTTGGTGGAAAATTGGCTTAGTCTGCCCACCACAGTCACTCTGCTTCCTATCATAACACCACTTTCCTTGTGCATACAGAGAACCCTTGCCTTTCTTGTACTGTGTTACTTTGTGGGGTTGACGCTTGCTACACTTCTTACCAACAGTCCAGCGGGTTTTAAGAATGTTCACCGTGCTTGCGAGAGTCCTATCAGCACAGAAAGTAAAGTAAGTTTTGAAAGAAGTCTTCATCTGCATCACGGGAGAGGGGGAGGGGGAGGGGGGGAGAGAGAGAGAGAGAGAGAGAGAGAGAGCGCGCGCGAGCGAGCGCGCGCGCCCGAGAGCAGAACACTTTCCTCCTGCCATTCCTACCAAAGCACAGAAAGAACCCTGACTCCTCTGCTTAGGTCACATATCTAGACTAATCACTGTGTCTCTTAGGGGAATGGCATACTCTGGCCATCATGAGTAACAGGATCATCTTGTGGAATGCCTTGGGACTGATGTCCTCAACGGAATTTTCTTGGGCAGGGAGTGGTAGTTCGCAAAACAATTGATGTTTATCACTTATGTGGTCTGCAAACATCATCCCAGCATGTTGGTAGCTCTCTTGGCCCCGTGCTGTAGTCATGGGATCTAAGACTAAAAGGAAGAAAAACAGCCCTGAAATTCTGGCAATTACAAGTGAAAAGTTTGGTATAACCCACTGCCCCCACCTCCAACCTGTTCTGTTTGCCTTGGTTAAAGGAAAAACTGTACATTCAAATGGAATACTTGGTTACTGGCCAAGGGCCTTTTGCAGAAACTTCTCCAGAAATTATAGGATGTAGTCTTACAACTCTGGTTTGAGTTGCCAGAGTCCTGGGGCACCTCTGTCCTGGCTCACCAGCAGACCACCAGCCTTTGCTGTTCTTTCCTTGGCTGCATTATGGAGATGGGGGCGAGGGCCAGGGCAGAGGAAGGGGCTTTGAGGGGTGCCTGAAAAGCCAGTTGAGGGTTGGATTCTTATCTACTGTTGTTAGCATTTCCACTATCATAAGTATTCTTAGAGAATTGCCCAGTGACTAGGGAATGGGAACTGTTACTTTTGTGTTCAAGAACTTGTAAAGGGGGAAATATTCCTGATGGAACAAGGGGAGGAAATAGGTCAAATACTAAAATGTGATCCCTCCAGTTGGTAATGCTTTAGGGAAGAGACCCAAGGTATCTGAATTCCCCACCTGAGAAGCTGATAGCTCTTATGTCCCCTTAAAGAGAAAAAGAAGAGAGTGCCCCCTGCAGGTGGAAGCTTTTAGGCACCCTCCTTCCCCCGCTGCAATCCTCAGGTTGAGGCCCACATAGGAAAAAAATACACAATCTTACAGGTTGGGGACCCTGTTTGTCACCAGATAATGAGGTTCTCTAGAACAGATACTGTTTCTTTTGTTCTCCATCATGTACCCAATGAAATTCAGTGTACCTGGAACATAATAGGATCTCAATAAAATGTTGTTGAGTGAGTGAAACCTTGTGCCATATTTGAAAAGCATACAAAGACCATAACTCTTTCTGGTGCAACTGGATTTAACTCTCAAGTGTTTTGTCTGTGGAGGTTGCATCTGGCTTTTAGAAACATTAAAAAAAAATTTTTTTTGTCCTTTATTGATCTTAGAGAGGAAGTGAAAGGGAGAGAAAGATAAAAACATCAATGAGAGAGAACATCGATTGGCTGTCTCCTGCATGCCTCACACCCGGGATCGGGCCCACAACCTGGGCATGTGTCCTGACTGGGAATGGAACTGGTGGCCTCTTGGTGCATGGGTTGACGCCCAACTACTGAGCCACACCTGCAGGATAATGAAAACATTTTGATAAACATCCTGCAACCATTGTTTACAGGCAGAATTAGTGAAAAATAAACATGTTAATATTTTTCCACATAATGTTCCAGGTTATCAATTTTTGCTAACCAGTGATTTGGGGTTATAGGGTTTTCCATTATCTATTTTTTGTTTACTACCTTTGGCCACCAGATGGCAGCATTGGAATGATAAACTTTTAAAAAATTTTATTTTTAATTTAATTTAATTTAATTTTACTTATTGATTTATTTTTGTTACAGATGTTTCTCCTTTTTCCCCCATTGACACCCTCCTTCCCATCCCTGTCCCCAGCTTTGTTGTCCATGTCCATTGTTCATGCATCCATGCATATAAATTCTGTGGTTTACTCCCCACCCCCACCCCCTCTTCTGGGGATTGTCAGTCTGTACCCTACTTCTATGTCTCTGGGACTACCCTGTTGTTCAGACTGTTATGTTCATTATATTCCACAAATAAGTGAGATCATATGATACTTGTCTTTCTCTGTTTGGCTTGTTTTGCTTAGGATAATACTTTCCAGGTCCCTCTATGTTGTCTCAAAGGATAAGAGATCTTTCTTTCTTACAGCTGCAGAGTACTCCATTGTGTATATGTACCACAGTTTTTTTATTCATTCATCTACTGATGGACATTTGGGCTGTTTCCAGATCTTAGCTATTGTAAATAGTCCTGCTATGTACATGGGGGTACATATATTCTTTCTGATTGGTGTTTCAGGCTTCACTACTCATCAGAGAGATGCAAATTAAAACAATAATGAGATATCACCTCACACCTGTCAGAATGGCCGCCATCAACAAATCATCAAACAAGTGTTGGTGAGGGTGTGGAGAAAAGGGGACTCTAGTGCACTGCTGGTGGGAATGCAGACCGGTGCAGTCACTATGAAAAACAATATAGTATTACCTCAAAAAATTAAAAATTGAACTGCCATTTGACCCAGTGATCTCACTTCTAGGAATATACCCCAAGAAGCCTGAAACACCAATCAAAATGATAAATTTTTAATTTGTCTTTTATAATCCAAAACTTTTTTGGAAAGTTTTATATAACTCTTTTATGTTTCAGAATCAATGTTTCAAAGTAAAATATACAAATTTTTAAAGAACACTGATAAGAACATTGAAACATACTATGAACAATTATACGCCAGCAAATTAGACAATCTAGGAGAAATGGACACATTTCTAGAAACACACAGCCTCCCTAAACTGAACCAGGAAGAGATAAAAAACTTGAACAGAGCAATAACAACAAAGGAAATTGAAGATGTAATTAAGAAACTCCCAGCAAACAAAAGCCCAGGCCCAGAGGACTTCATGGGGGAGTTTTACAAACATTCAAAGAAGATCTAATACCCATTCTCTTCAAACTATTCCAAAAAATCCAAGAAGATGGAACACTTCCAAATTCATTTTATGAGGCCAGCATAATCCTAATTCCAAAACCGGATAAAGACACTACTGAGAAAGGATACTATAGGCCAATATCCCTGATGAACACAGATGCCAAAATCCTGAACAAAATATTAGCAAATCAAATCCAGCAATACATCAGAAAAATTATTCATCATGACCAAGTGGGATTCATCCCAGGGATGCAAGGATGGTACAATATTTTTAAATCAATAAATGTGATACACCACATAAACAAAATGAAAGATAAAAACCATGTGATCATATCAATAGATGCTGAAAAAGCATTTGACAAAATACATCACTCATTTCTGATAAAAACACTCAGCAATGTAGGGATAGAGGGATCATATCTCAACATAGTAAAGGCCATATATGAAAGACCTACAGCCAACATCATACTCAATGGGTAAAAACTAAAAGCATTCCCCTTAGGAACAGGAACAAGACAGGGATGCTCACTTTCACTACTCTTATTTAACATAGTACTAGAAGTCTTAGCCACAGCAATTAGACATGAAGAAAAAATAAAAGGGATCCAAATTGGAAAGGAGGAAG